CAGATGATCTGAAGGCGATCAGCTCCATATTCCGGGAAATACTTCCCGAAAAAACAACTGGAGTACACGTACGAAAGGCTATCAGGATCGGAAAACGAAACCCTGATGCTACAGGAACTCCTCGACGACTACTTAAGGTAGTTTTAGGGAACGAAACAGAGAGGAGGACCATCCTCGACAACGCGTTCAAAGTCAACGACAAAAGTCTAAAAATAAGGCCTGATTGGCCTTTGGAAGATAGAATCAAAAGAAGAGAAGCCGTGGCTGAACTAAAGGCCAGGCTAGAGAAAGGCGAGAAGGACCTCAAACTATTGGGTTTTCGGGTGGTGAGGTCTCGGAAACCGATGCTGCCGAGACCTCTCTTCATAAGCCGGGTGAACACGTAGGTGTTTCGGTGTGCTATACGAACGCATGTAGTCTTAGGAATAAGCTCGCCGAATTAGGAGAGTTATCTGAAAGACTACAACCTGATGTAATTGCTATCACTGAGACGTGGTTGTTAGTGGGTGTAGACTTAACTCCACTCATACCTGGGTATATCTGCATACGAGCAGACAGAGTAAGTAGTCGGAAAGGTGGGGGGATTGCTCTTACATCCGGGATGACATAGGGATCAGGTCAACGTTGTCAGAAGCTCATGACAGCGGCACCAGTGAAGCCGCAAGTTGCATCATTAACTTAAACAAAGGCACTTTAACGATCGGAGTTATCTACAGAAGTCCTGCTAGCCAAGCTGATGACTTCGTTCTAAATCACTTGAGGGCGTGGGGTAGTAGAAATAGGTGTCTGATTGTTGGCGACTTTAACGCTCCACATATTAATTGGGGGGAATTAAACTCCACTAGTTTGTATACCTGTTTCAATAGGGAGCTCACATTGACAGTGCTTGAATGTGCACTCGTGCAACATATGCATGCACCAACACGGTATCACCCTGAACATGATCCATCTACTCTAGACTTGGTATTGACACACCAGAAGGAGGACGTTGGTAACATTAGGTGCCTTCCGCCGCTTGGCAGCAGTGACCACATAGTCATTGCTTTTACGTTTAGGATTCATTCTCTCATGCACAGGCCAAAATCTGCTCGTCCAAACATTTGGAAAGCGGATATACAAGGAATCCGGAACGCAGCAACTGTGGTTGACTGGTCAGTTGATACAAGTCAGACTGTCGAGGAAGCTTGGGTAGGATTTAGGAATACACTAGATCGTGTCACTTCACCTTTTATACCTTGGTACACTCCTCGAAAGCCGTCGCATGAACCTCCTTGGATCACTAGTGAAATAAGGAGGTTATTAAGACGGCGAAAGAACTTATGGGACCAATTTGTTATGACAGGAAGGGAAAACTTCCAGAAAGACTACCGCAAAATTCGAAACCTCTGTAAGTATGCGATTAACAAGAGTCGTATAGAGTACGAGAGACGATTAGTACTAGATTGCGTTCATTACCCAAAAAGGTTTTACTCGTATATTAAACGTAGGACTAAAACTAGCAGTGGTATACCGTCACTCATAACCATTAGTGGAGAAGCGGCTGAGTCAGACGAAGGAAGGCTGAAAACCTCTCTGAATACTTCTGTGACGTCTTCTCGTCTGATAGTACCACCCAGGGATATGGCGAGGTCACTGCCATCGCCACTCAGATGCCCTCAATTGTGGTAGAGCACACAAAGGTTCTCAAACTACTGTCTAAACTGAAGCCAGGTAAATCACCTGGGCCGGATGGACTCCACCCTAAGTTGTTACTTTCCTTGGCGGATATAATATATATTCCGCTTACGGAGATTTTCCAAATGTCTCTGACGCAGGCTAAGCTACCCAGGGACTGGAAGGATGCCATTATAAGCCCTATCTTCAAGGACGGGGATAGGCAATTGGTATCTAACTACAGGCCGGTAAGTCTGACATGCATTATTGCAAAGGTACTGGAAACTATTATAAGGGATCAACTATTAGCTTATGTTGAAACACATGGCTTGTTGGCTGTGGAACAGCATGGATTCCGACCAGGACGATCCTGCTTGACAAACCTACTATTGGCTAGGGAAGACTGGGTTGAGGCCAGAGATAGGGACCATCTGTTGGACGTGGTTTTTATTGATCTTAGCAAGGCGTTCGACAAAGTATCCCACTTAGGTCTCCTTAGTAAACTGAAAGGTTTCGGACTAGACCAATGCCTATGTGAGTGGTTTAGAGATTACTTAATGGATAGAAGGCAGAAGGTTAGAGTTAATGGTGTACTATCAGGATGGAAAGCAGTATCCAGTGGAGTGCCCCAGGGAACTGTATTAGGTCCATTGCTATTCCTATTATACGTTAACGAATTACCAGGGATTCTTTCTTCATCTTCATTATTATTTGCAGATGACATTAAGGTATGGAAAACTGTAAACAATAACGAGGATAGGTTGGCCCTACAAACTGACTTAGATAAATTAGCTGAGTGGTCAAGCCTATGGAGTTTGGAAATGAATGCTAGGAAAAGCGCGGTAATGCACTTAGGTCAGAAGTCTTATACGTCGTACTCCCTAGGGGATGCAGAACTACCTGATGTTAAAGAACAGAAGGACCTAGGAATCATTGTCAGCAATGATTTGAAAACAACTGCAAATTGCAATGCAGCCGCAGCTAAAGCTTTTCGAATGCTATGGGCAATTCGAAGGGCTTTCAAACGATTAGACGAGGGCATGTTCCAAATACTCTACGCAACATATGTCAGGCCTCATCTAGAATACTGCATACAAGCGACGAGTCCATGCTTCAAAAAGGAGGCACATATTCTGGAAAGAGTACAGAGAGTAGGAACAAAATTAGTTAGTGGTATCTCACACCTTCCTTATGATAACAGGATGGAGCATTTAAATCTCTTCCCGTTATCATACCGAAGGAAGAGAGGCGACTTAATTTTAGCATACCGTATACTTAAGGGTGATTTAGGAACTGGCATTTCTAACCTTTTCTCCCCGTCTAGGATACATTTACGGGGTCACCACAGAAAGGTGCTCAAACCGAGGACGATTAAAATACGTGCAGAATTCAGAATCTCTCACAGAGTGGTCAACGATTGGAACTCCTTACCTGATTCAGTAGTATCAGCTCCATCGGTGAACGCTTTCAAAGAGAAGTTAGACCTCTGCAAAGATATACTTTGCAAGGATTAACACAGGCCACAAGAGCCTTCTATCCTTATCATCTGAATCTGAATGTAACTTAAATAAACCAATAGTTCTGTCTGTCTGTTTTCGACATAGAACTTTGCACAAATGTGCGCCAGTTCAAGTCGCCACATTCCGTGTAGCACGCGAAGCAAGAGAAGAAAGTACAAGAAAAGCATAATAGAGACAGTGAGCAGAGGTTTGAGACAAAGGAGTAATAACGAAAAACAAAACAGTTTCATGGAAATCATAAGTCACAAGGAGTGGATGCATCTGCGCCACTGAGAACGATTTTGAGCCATGTCACCAATTGTTTCCAACCATAGATTTTTACCGTCCCGAGCACCCCAGCCTGGAAGTCTACACCTTCCAACGTGGCTTAGACCAACTGTTGTGGATTTCATTGACTGGTATCAAGTTTTTGTTTGACCGCCGCCAGCTTTTTTACAGCCTGACCCTATATCAGCTAACATTGCTCGTCGAGGGAGCCGATGACTTGGCATACGTAACACATGTCCTAACCATCTCAGTCTTTGTAGCTTCACGACTTCGTCGATTGATTTCCCCTCTTACCTAGAACTCGACGCCTAACCTCAATATTGCTCACCTTATTATGCCACTTTACACGGGAAATAGAGCGCAGGCACCTATGATCAAAGACAGCTAGTCTTTTCATGTCTTCCACTCTCAGTGACCAGGTCTCACAACCATAAAGGAGGACGGAGCGGACTGATGAGCAGTACACCCGCCCTTTGGTCGATAGTCGAACATCTCGTCTACGCCAGAGTCGGCGTAAACTGGCAAATGCGAAACGAGCCCCTTGTATTCGTGCTGAGATTTCGTCAGAGATCAGCCCGTTGGGGCTGATGTTACTTCCCAAATAAGTGAAGCGGTCAGCGTGCTCTACCACTTCACTTCCTATTTTTAAACTAGGCGTCGATGTAGTCCAGTCTTAAAACATCATCTTGCATTTGGCGGGAGCTAATCGCATGCCAAACATTCGTAGATTGCGGCTCAAGGTGTTTAGAAGACTCTGCATTTCGTCAGAGTCTTCGCCTAGAAGGACTATATCGTCTGCATATTCCAAGTCAACGAGATTATTCCCCGGTAGCAAGTCAATCCCTGAGTCACTGAAGTCACCTAGGGTTAAGTCCATTAACACATCTATGATGAAGTTGAATAGAAAAGGAGATAATGGGCATCCTTGACGGACACCACTAGTCGTCACCAGTTCAGATGACAACGCGCCGTAAGCCCTCACCTGGCTGTATGAGTACGAGTAGAGTGCCTTAAACAGTGCAATGTATTTTCTCGGAATTCCCTTAACAGCCAAACATCGTCAGAGTACCTCCCGGTCGACAGAATCGAATTCCGCCTTTAGGTCAAGAAATATAATGACTGTTGGACGCCGGTAGGAATGTCTATGTTCTAGAATCTGTCGGAAGGTGAAGATATGATCAATACACCCTCTTCCTGGTCTAAAGCCTGCCTGGCTCTCTCGTGTTTGTACCTCCCGAGCACCACTTAGTCTACGTATGATTATTGAGCCTAGGATTTTAGATACTATATTAGTCAAGCTAATCCCTCTGTGATTATCACAGGAAGACTTGTCTCCCTTCTTGTATATGGGGATAATCAGTGACTTACACCAACCTGATGGGACTTCCTCTGATTCCCAGACGCTGCCTAGAACCTCAGTTAATGCAGACAGTAAACTGTCTCCACCGTACTTAAATACCTCTGGAGTCATTCCATCAGGTCCCGCTGATTTGCCTAGTTTCAGATTGGTGACAGCTTTAGTAACCTCAGTTAGTGACGGAGGACCTGTGTCTATATCCCATTCAGGGAGGTGTTGGATATTCGGAAGGTTGAGTGTGGCTGTGGGCCAATTAAACTGCTCCTCATACTGCTCTTTCCAGCGATCCAGTCGTCTATCCTGAGAGCTAATTATAGTGCCATTTTTCTCCGAGATTGTTTCACTTATGATTTGCCTTCTTCCACCCGTTTCCCTGATGAGTCTAAAGAGTTACCTGGTGTTGCCTATCCTCGAAGCTTTCTCCATCTCTTTGGCTTTTGTCGCCCGCCACTGTTCACGGTCCTTGCGGAGACTTTTCGTAAGTTTCCTCTTGTGCAGCTTTCGCTCCTCATTGAATTCGGAGCTCGCCGGAATAAGTCTTCTAGCATCTATCAGTTCGGATGAGGCGGTGGAGATCCAGTGGTTTTTACTCACCTTTGGGTTTACCTTATTCACAGCTTTTACAGCTGTATCTATGGCTGCCTGGATATTCTTCCAAGCTTCTTCAGGGTGAGCACGGCTGTTGAACACAGATGTGTTTAGCTAGTTCTTCCTCAAATACGGATTTAGTTTCCTGATCGAGCTGGGGATGTGGTGGTTTTACCGCCAGCTGTTTGCTACGTTCGTTCAGTCGTAAGCACACCCGAGCGCGGACCAGTGCGTGATCGGTATCTACACATGTGTTCCAGAAGGAGCGACAATCTCCTACAGACCCACGCCAACGATAGCTTATTGCTATGTGGTCTATTTGTGTCCAGCGTTGGTTTGATGATGGGGGTCTTCGAGTCAAACAGTGTCTCTTCTTGTGTTTGAAGTTAATGCTTACAAGAAACAAATGATTATCAGAACAGAACTGTATGAGACGGTCACCGTTGTCGGTCCGCTGGCATGGAACTCCATAAGTGCCACCGAAATCCTCAGATTGACACAATTTCCCTACTTGAGCGTTTAAGTCACCAGCTAAAACGACTATGTCTGAGCGTTAGCAGAATATGATGTCAAGACTATTTACACCATGCTTTCTTGTCTTTATCATAATTTTTAAGTGAACTTTTAACTGTTACTCGGTACTTGAGAATAATTTGTGCAGCATTCAACTAAACTTTTCGTTACTTGCCGACACCCATGCTCACTATAAGTCTAAACTAATTCTGACCTATGTGTTGATAATGCTTTTTTGTGGTAAATGAATATTTTATCTACCTACAATGAAACTACTATGTACTGAAATAACGCTAGCCGTTCCTAAAGAGAGCAGGGGACGCTTAATTTTTGCGACGAATCCTTCAAAATAGGATTTGCTGCTGAAATAAATCTGGAAAAATTGTCACTATACACTGAACCAAGTATTTTTCTTCTGAAGCAATGCCCGTCAGTGATGCATCTATGCTGAGAGTGCTGAGACAACGCTGATTAGCAAACCCAGTAGGTTCTGAGCTACCTCTGGAAATGCCTGTTAAAAAGCACAGGGTGGTGAACTAGAGTCAGTCATGCTGAAAAACAGCGCTGAGCTCTGGTCTGTCCACATAATCAAACCATTTCAGAATTTACTCACTATGGTATGTTAAAGTTAGTTCAGAATAAGCGAGATTTAATTTAGCACCAAGGAGTGCTTGGGCAGGTTATATCACATCTTTCTGCATTTGCAACCCTTCCACACTGTTAACCACGCAGTAAATCATTTCATCCAATAAAAGTCCTCTTAATAATAAACAATAATTCAAATAATAATTAAAATGCGACTAACATATGTCCCATATGGGACAAAATATCTTGGGTTCTATTCCTAAGTGTACAAAAATTGAGTAGATAACTCCAACTTATTGTTAAGGGCATGATAAAGAGCCCTATATACTACTTTTCGGGATAGTAATACCACTTGATCACTCAAACCTTACTCTTTAGGGGCACACGAGAAAGGATAGCGGCACAAACGGCTTATGGAGAGGCTGAGCACTTGAAGGTCACTTATGCAAGCTGTGATTGGTAGATTTCCCTTGGCATAAACGTTGCGGCTAATACGTGCCTTACGTTACTGAAGCAGGCTTTGGAATAGCAATAATAAAAGCGGATAGACATTATATTTTCTAGCCTAAGGGACCAAGTTAACATGCTTATTAATTTCACAGATATGAGAAGCATTAGATCCCCTTACAAGGAGAATATTACTGAGTAACTTAATCAAAGAAGTATAAAGTTTGAAGATTTTATCTCTTTCGGTTAATTGTAACGGATGGATAGGAGTCACGTGTATAATATTTGCTGGTGACTCTAAAGAATAGCGGCCCAAACCGAAACGACCTTTCAACGCAAAAATGACCTTGACAGGGACAACTTCGGCCAATGCGAAGGCTCAAAATGAAAGGCGCATAATTGTAAAAAACGGTTTATATATAAGTAATGCAGTCATAATAAATAGTTACAAAGGATAACGTTCGCGTATATGTTGCAAAAAAACCTCCCAGTTTCTCATAGGAGTCTTCATTGTCATATTAAACCAGTTTCTATACATAAATTCATCTAGATAACTGTAAATCATTGGATTTCTTGATCCATTAACAGCTCTTATCCGTCTTTTCAGACGACTCCATAAACTTTCGATGGAATTAGTGTGCGTTCCATCCACAGGATTCCTGAAACCAACCGTGTGATTGACGACATGATGAATATACCCATGATTGGATAATTGACGGTAGGCACTCCATTCATCTGTGTGAATAGTCGTCCCAGGCAGCACCAAACGCTGAATAATAGGCAATAATACACCTGCACTGCGATTGGGAATCGCCTCTATATACTCTTTTCGTAGTGTTGTGTCGTATATACCCAATATCCACTGCTGGTTGGATTGTAATCTCCCCCGGTTATATTTCCTTTTTATCAATACAGTTTCATCAATATGTACGATTACACCGACTCCTCCAAGAACTTGAGTCAGACTGTTCATTTTCCACGAGGAAACATGTCTGCAGTAATTGTACCACTGCACTGCCGACACCTCTGAATTTTCTGTTTCGTGAGCTGTAGCTGTAACTGGTCTTTTGAGGACCCAGAAGTTACATATCATTAAGATTTTCGTCAAAGGTAGTTTAGACCTAGAGAAAAAAGTTCCTAAGGGATCTGTAAACTAAAAAACAACGACAAACCATCTCGAACCGATTTCCTCCTTCGGCACTCAATACATCTGTATACAAAGCCATCGATGGCCTCTGCTTATATTTGTATATGCATAACTCCTCCGCACTGGCAAATTTTCGACAAAGCTATGAGTCCGTTATCCAAACAGTAGTCGAAAACATCCATGATTACTTCCGAAAATGATACAGTCAGCTGATTCCTTGCTCAAGGTCACTTTTTTGTTCGAAGGTCGTTTCGGTTTGGGCCGCTATTCTTTAGAGTCACCTATTTGCTTTTTATAGAAGAGAAAATGTGACAGGTGGTTTGGAAGTTACACAATTCCTGAAATATATCGTGGAATATATGGACGAGTAGTCTATAGAATTTCACAAACTCAGTGGTTGTTCCTTGCTTTGTTCACATATTCACTGTGGCTAAGAATAGGAATTGTTCACCAGAGGTAAGATTAATTTACCTGAAATGTATACATCCTCAGATATTTCTCAATATGGCTGAAGGCATTCGAAGGAATACAATCCCAATCTCTGCTTGAAAAGTTCACATCCAGTTTCTGCGAACGGATGTGGTTGTGACGAAAACTGCAAAGACTGGTTCAACACCACTAACAACGGAGGCAAACTGATACAGATGTCGTGGATAGAGTGTTTGGTGGACTTTGTGATGACTATGATGCAGCTATAAAAAAGCTCTACAACTGCGATTTTTTCACTGGATTGTTAGTAACTCTCTTTAGTGTAGATATGTACTCTTTCATTCTGAGCCATTTTTAACTTGATTGATTATTTTTTCCTTACAAATATATGCATTTATGTCGACTAACTTTGTCTCTTTCACTTATCATTTTGAGGACATTGCAGAGTTAACGAGAATATGGTAGGCAACGTATTAATACTTATGTGAAATGCGTCAGTCTTAAAATATTACTATTTCCTCAATGCATCATTAAGCCTTGCGTAAAGCGTTTCAGTTGCGTACAATATTGGTATTCGCGATTGTTAAGAAAGTAGCCGTCAAACATGTGTAATAACGAAACATAACCTAGCAAATATAGGTCCTATACGTACACGACTTGTAGTGGTAGTCTAGGCACTTCATGCGCACTATGCAACGTATATCCTATTTATCACAAATAGTCTGCTATTCTTATGTTGCGTTTAACACCACTACCTCAAAGGAAATCATTGCATAATAAAGAGATGACTACATTACTCTTCTTGTGCTATCATTTCGTATCAATAGGCTCTTACATGATCACATTAACACTCAGACTCGTGCATTGGCTGATTACGTCACTAAATTTGATTGATTACTTTGTTATCATAAAATACTGTAACGCATTAGATAGGCTTTTGTTGTGCATATCGCCTGTTTAAGGTTTACTAGCGAAAGCGATAACAGTACCCCCATCGTGTCTAAATTCAACCAGGTGTAAATATGGCACTTTACCAATATTATGTCTTCTACGCTAGCATCACTTTGCAACTTGACAAACAGTAAGTATTATTAGTGTACGAATAAGGTGCAAAATTTTTAAAACAATGTTTATTTCGACAAATACATTCATAATATCACAAATATTTCATCAATTACACGAATATTTTTCTTTTTAACCCCACTGGAATGCATAAATGTATTGAGTGATTGCGGGATTGAAGACCGTAACCTGGAAATTAAAAATGACAAAAATTCAGTCAGGAAATGATGGGCGAAATAAATTACTTGAAACACAGTACCTACCAGTTAAATGACTGTTTATTCACCGTCATCTGACGAAATTACCAACTCAGTTTCCTTTATTACTGTGAAATTATGTAAACATAATGAAATCATAATTACCTAGATATTTAACTCTCTCCTAATCATTTACGTAAAATACACTGAAACAATTAGAGTTATTTTGCATTTTATATCATAATTGACATTTTTCAACAAATTCTGACATTTCTTATGCACCTCAGTATTTCAATTCCATAAAAAGAGAGCATTTTGTAAACACATTAAAAAAGACCACTTTTCTCACTTTTTACACTTTTTTTCGTTAAAATACGATTTTTAAAGAGCACTTCTGTCGAAAAAACTAGTAAAAACAACGTGGAATAGCCCAAACACAACGCCACGATAACACCTTAAAACTGCAGAAATCAGCTGATTTGTGCCTCTATCCTATCCCGAGGCAGCCTGTAGACGGTCGCAATTTTGAGTGACCGCGAATGAGATAAACAAGTGACTTACTCGCTTATGATTGGCTAGATTGTCATTCGAGTTGCAGCTAAGGTCGCGATCCCCAGGACCGTTTTATCACGCTATGGGCATAACTGCCAACACATAATAATAATAATAATGTATATTTTCATATAAACATATAAATTTACATGCCATGCATGCCATTTTTGCAGACACGATCAAGTAACAGCTCAGGATAGAAATGATATACCAGAGGATTTATTTGCTGAATTCAATGAATTCCTCCCATGTCAACATCTGAGGACGTTGCAGGAGTATCAAGGTTGCAATAAATCTGAAACTATTTATTTCTGGAACGGATCAATTATTGGTCTACTTATGTACCTAAAGAACACGCAAAACTTCCATAACTACTCTTTAAACAATAAATATACTAG